AATGAGAGCGTTGTGAACAGGCATGTGCATGAATTCATTCAGAAAAATGACTCTCTGGATTCCAAATCGCACAATCATATTCTTTTATATTTAACGGGTGAATAAGAGATTTCGGCTTTTCCTAGTGTTGAAAAGATGTGTGATTGTGTCCGATGAGGGGAGAAGCCCGACCTTCCCTGGGTATAGTCAGACTCTGAGTGCAGTGTTGATCAATCCAACCTTTACAGATTCCTCATTGATGGGATTGAAAATACTTTCCTAACCTGAAAACTCCTCTAGGGTAGAGGCTCCTTCTTTGAACCCCTAGAATTCAGCATGGTCCTCACATAGTCCAGATCCTCTTCAAATATGGGGATCAACAAAAGGAATTTATTTTCACATTTGCTGACTCATTTAACTCAGAAGGCTGCTTGTTCTTGGATTGTTCAACATTTTCACTTTTCGTGTTTTTGGCCCGTTTTACCTTTTGTTGTAGAAGTTGGCAGGAAAGAGCAAAGTGAAGAACCTGAAGCCCCAAAACAGGGAACTAACTGCTGCCCTCATCTTTTTCTTATTTTATAGTTAACTAGCTTAACTATTTTAAAGTCAGGATTTAAAACAGTATTTTCAAATAAAAGCTATTGTAAAGTGTGCAGTTCAGTAGCATTAAGTACATTGTTGTGCCCCCATCACCACCATCTGTCTCCAGAACTCTGTGCATCTTCCAGAACAGAAACTCTGTCCCTATTAAGCAATAACTCCCCATCTCCCTCACCCAGCTCCTGGTAATCACCATTCTTCTTTCTGTCTCTACTGTAGGTATTTTATATAAGTGGAATCATACAGCATTTGTCTTTCTGTGGCTGCCTCATCTCACCTAGAGTAATGTCCTCAGATCCATCCATGTTGTAGCATGTGTCAGAATCTCCCTCCTTTTGAAGGCTGGGTAATATTCCAGTGAATGTACATACCTCATTTTATTTATCCATTCATTAGACAATGGACACTTTGGCTATTGTGAACATGAATGTACAAATATGTCCCCATCTTAATTTTACCTCCCCTCTACTATGCATAGCAAGAATTTAAAAATCTTTTAGCAACATCAAAATTAAAAACTGAGCTTCAAAGGACACGATAAAGACAGTGAAAAGACAACGGGAGGAAATATTTGCAATTCATATAAGTGTCTTGTATCCAGAATATATAAAGAACAACTCAACGATAACAACAACAAAACCCCCCAAATAAGCTGATTAAAAATGGACAAAGGACTTAAATGGAAATTTCTCTAAAGAAGATATACAATGGCCAATAACACTTGAAAAAAAATGCTCAACATTATTAGTATCATGAACATGCAAATAAAAACTACATGCTGTTACACTTCACATCAACTAAGGTGATTGTAATAAAAAAAAAAGTCTATAATAGACTAGAGGCCCAGCGCACAAAATTTGTGCATGGGTACAGTCCCTAGGTCTGGCCTGCGATCAGGGCCATCTTCTCCGGTTGCCTGAAACTGGCCCTGCCCCCCTCTGCCACCCACCCCCAGTTCCCTGTTTGCCATCAGGTGATCGGAGCCTGCCGGCCAGGGTAAAAGACCAAGAGGTGGTCAGTGTGCCTCATAGTGACTGGTCGAGCAGGCATTCTGGTCGTGCTGCTGTTAGGTCAATTTGAATATTACCCTTTTATTATATAGGATAGAGGTCCAGTGCACAGGTGGGGGCCAGCCGGCCTGCCCTGATGGGGGCCCCGGATTGGAGTGGGGGTCCTCACTGGGGGGTGGGGCCAGCGGGGCGAGAGCCGCTGGGGATTTGCAGGCTGGCCACTACCCCTATCGGAGTGGGGGTCCCTGCTGGGGAGTGGGACAGTAGGGACGAGGAGCCACGGGGGGTTTGCAGGCCGGCCATGCCCCCAAGCAGGGTGGAGGTCCCCACTGGGGGGTGGGGCCAACCAGGGCGAGGGGCCGGGGGGGGGTGTTTACAGGCCAGCCACGCCCCTGATTAGGGTGGGTAGGTTCCTGCTGGGGGGCGGAGCCAGCTGGGGCAAGGGGCTGCGGTCCTTCTGGTCTCTGGTCATTCTGGTCATTCCGCTGCTTCAGTCGCTGGGCTTTTATTATATAGGATGTTGGCAAAGATGTGGAAAAAATGGAAACTCTCATATACTGCTGGTGGGAATGCAAAATGGTACAGCCACTTTGGAATACAATTTGGCACTTTCTCAAAATGCTAAACATAGTTACCATATGGCCCAGCAATTCCACTCCTAGGTGTATAGGCAAAAGAAATGAAATATGTCCATACAAAACTTGTACACAAATGTTTTTAGCAACATTATTTATGACTAGTAGCCCATCGCGTGATATCATGAAAGTTGTCTTTTTTTTATTTAACCCTCCATAAAATAAAATGCTGTACTCCTTTTGGAGAAGAAATTGTGGAATTCATCATTGAAAATATAAAGAAAATTAAAATATTTTGTTTCTAAGGTTGTAAGAAACAAAACAAATTTTGGAAATATTTATTCATTTCCTAAAAATGTAGCATGTGTGTGTGTTTTAACAAATGAGGACAAAATTAATGAAACTTAGTTTTGTGCCTCGGGACTTTCACAAACCTTAATGATAGTTTTGGTCTGTCTTTCCCGTGGCATGTAAGTCTTTCTGTCTGCGACCTGTAGGCCAGGTAAGCACTGTGTCTAGACTTCCCAACCAAGGTTCTCTCCTTTTTGCACATTCTCTTCTTCCTCAGTTGGTGTTTGGTCCCTGCCCCTCAACTAACTTTTGATAAAACAATAGTCCCTCTTCCCTCTGCCTAATAAGTCAGTTTTAGGCTTACTAGTAGGAGTGGTTAAGGCTGATGGAGGGAGATTTACCTATTAATCATTTTACCTATTAAATTAATTTAAATGAAAAGGTTTTACCTATTAAATAAATTTAAGTGGGGGTTTTTCTGTAGATTTTATTTATTCCCACCATTCCTGGCTTGGGTTGCCCTATGGCCAGACACTGCCTGGACGCTCCTTTAACTGTTAGCTCCCTTTGCCTTTATGGCCCCTCTCACAAAGGGGCTCGTGCCTGGGTACTAGCTCATTTTCTTTCTGATTGTGGAATCCTGGGAGGACCCAGGACAGCTTTAAACTCCTCATAGTGCTTTGGGATACATAGGAGCTTAGTAATCATTTATTGAATGAATAATTCTGGGCTGATAGAACTTAAGGACGTGAGCCCTGTCTGGTGTGGCTCAGTGGTTGAGCGTCAACCCATGAACCAAGAGGTCACAGTTCAATTCCCAGTCAGGGCACATGCCTGGCTTAGGGGCTCAATCTCCAGTATGGAGTGTGCAGGAGGCAGCTGATTGATGATGTTTCTCTCTCATTGATGTTTCTATCTCTCTATCCCTCTCCCTTCCCCTCTCTCTCTCTCTCTCTCTCTCTCTCTCTCTCTCTCTCAAAGCAAACAAAAGAACTTAAGTATGTGAGCTACAGAAAAACAATTTCTACATGTTTTATTATTTAATGTCTGCTAAAAGAATTTTACACAACCAGCTGAGAGAAATGCATACTGCATACTGTTCGATCATGACATAAGCCTACAAGCATGCTAACATGGCATTAAAGTACATGATTTAAACCACAAGAGTGAAAATAACGTTTGGCTTTTTTCCTGCCGACCTTTATAAAATTCGTCAGTCCAGACTCTCCCAAAGGCACCTCAGGAATGTGAGTTCCGGATGTCTTTTTTGGGTTTTGTTGGTAGGGTTGATGAAAGCCATCAGTCCTGTCAAGTGGTTTGAGCAAGAGGGAGATAAATCTAATCCAGAGCCGTGCACAGACTTGTAAAACAAAAGTTGTGCTTTCTAATGTCTTGTTCTGTACTATAGCTTGACTTGAGTTGGCTGTGAAGAATGTAAGTGATTCTTCTCAAGTCCCTGAGTTTTTTGGTGGTTGTTAGAACTAGGATGTGGAATTTATCATAACAGTAGAAGACAAAAGTTTAATTTTCATTTAACAAATTAAGTTTTAGAGATTAAAGAATGAGAATGTGAGTGGATGTGTTGTAAATGAAACCTTCTTCTCAGTGCTGGTGGCCAACTTGAGAGGGGCAAGAAGCTGCAAGCCTGGCCACACTGACATTCAGCCTTCCCGTGCGTAGCTCTGGTGGCCTGTTCCTCTACTCTGGCCACATCCCATTTTTTTCAAGGAGGAAGAGCCATGCTCCAAAAGTCTGGTGACCTAAATTTGAGACTTGGCTCTGCCTTTGACTTTGGATGGGTCTTAGCCTAGGGCAGTGGTCGGCAAACTCATTAGTCAACAGAGCCAAATATCTACAGTACTTCTTCAAAATAGACTCGCCCAGGCTGAAAACAGACTTCTGCGCATGGGCCACGAAGTTTCAATCGCACTGTACGCGCGCCCGCACGTGGTATTTTGTGGAAGAGCCACACTCAAGGGGCCAAAGAGCCGCATGTGGCTCGCGAGCCGCGGTTTGCTGACCACGGGCCTAGGGCATCCAGTCTCCTAGGTGGCACTTTGATATTTGTGTGTCAGTTTTAGTTGTCACAGTTATGGGTGTTACATTATTTGTGATTTGATTTGATTTCAGGATAATAAAGGTGACATAAATATTAATTATAAAAAGAGAGCAGTGGGTTTTTATTATTTATTTATTAGTGTAACATTCTATTATATCGTACATGAGATACCATGCTGTAAGGACATGGGGGCTCAAGTATGTACAGTACATAGCCAGGATTAACCCAAGGGGAAAGGGAAACCATGGAACAGGACAGTTTACATACATGTACACATCAATGGTATTGTCCATTGAATTTGATTTACCACGTGGTTTGCTGTACTTTTACAGGCTAACATACACACAATCATTTCTCTTTTTCCCCCGCACAAAGATCTACTTCTGTATAAAGTAGAAAAGGATGGTGGTAAAAAAAAAGTCTTCAAGCCCCAACAATTGTTTCCCAAATACCACTGTCTGAACACCTCTACCCTCCCAGCCGCATCTAGCAGCCGCACTCCTGAGCACCCGCGGGGCGAGCGCAGCTGTCTCAAGGCTGCATTTCCATACTGGATGCCTGAGCCCATCTTTTCTGGGTTCAGCTCACCTGATTTGATTTTGTTAAGTATTTTCCTTGCACACTGAACAAAGGCCTCTTCCACATTCTCCCCCGTCAGTGCACTTGTTTCCAAAAACATCAGTTCATTTTCTTGAGCAAATCTGGAGGCTTCTAAGAAAGTCACTTCCCGGTCTGTGTCCAGGTCCATTTTGTTCCACAGAGGATGATCACGATGTTCTGACTGGCGAGCATTCTGGCATCTGTTAACCAATTAGTAAGCGCATTGTAGGATTCCCGGCTGGTGATGTCATAAACGAGCAGGGCCCCAGCGGCGCCTCTGTAGTAGCTTCTGGTCATCACAGACCTGAATCGCTCTTGGCCGGCTGTATCCCATATCTGCAACTTCACGTATTTACCACCAACATTTATTATCTTTGAACCAAATTCCACTCCTACGGTATGATTGGAGTCATCTTTGAATTTTTTTTTTTCAATAAACTGATGAAGCAGGCACGACTTGCCAGTTCCTGTATTTCCAATAACCAGGAACTTAAACAAGAAATTGTAGGTCTCGGAGATGGCCTTCTGTGACATCTTGAGAGCAGCGCCACCTCTTGCAGGTCATGGCTGCAGCGCCAGCCACCAGAGCAGTGGGTTTTTAGCTTTGGCACTGAAAACCACTTGAGTAGATCATTGGGCTCTCTGCGCCTTAATTTACCTGTAACTTCTTTTGAAATGAAGAGAATGCCTGCCCTACTTTTCTCAGAATTATTTTGAAGATCAAATGTGGAAATAATGTGAATCTGAATCTCTGAGTGTGTTTCCTCAACTGCAAAATGGAGATAATGCCAGCTTAGCTTGGTCTTTGTAAGAATTAACTACGGTCACATATGTAAATGCTTGGTAGATGGTAAAACAATAATGTGTCTACCTCCAATTAATTATTTAATCCTGAAGGCCTGCCATTAACTCTGCTGCCTAGCCAGCTGTCTTATTGTTGACTGCATGTATTTGGTGATGTTCCATCTTTCATCCCAGACCTCACTGTGCTCTCTCTCTCTGAGCCCTTCCTGGAATTTTTTTCCATCTTCTCTGTTTGTCCCAGTCTGTTCTGTCCTAAACATTTCTTTCATCTAACCTCACGCAGGGCCCAGTGGGAAGTGTCTTTGCCTTCTGTTAGTCTCCTGTTCATTTACTTCTTGGAACAGTTGGTTATCTCTCCATGCACATGTATTTTATTGCTCCCTGCAATGTAAGCCACTGGACCTCAGCACAGGGCTGTGCAGTTGGTAAATACTCAGTGGTTGCTTGTTGATTTTTCACACCCAAGAGACATTCTTTAGAATGAAACAAGTCAGTAAACTTAAACTTGTCCTTCCTTGAAAATACATAACCACCTAAGCAATAAAGCTAAATAGTTACAGGCATACCTCAGAGATATTGGGACTCTGGTTCCAGGCCCCCACAAATAAAGTGAACATTGCAATAAAGCAAGTCACACACAGTTTTTTGGTTCACATAAAAATTATTTTTACATTATACTTTAGTCTATTACATGTGCAATAGCATTATGTCTAAAGAAAATATTGTACATACCTTAATTTTAAAAATACTTGATTGCTAAGAAATACTAGCCATCATCTGGGCCTTCATCAGGTCGTAATCCTTTTGCTGGTGTTGGACTTGCCTTCATCTTGCTGGCTTCTGACTGGTCAGGGTGGTGGTTGCTGAAAGGTGGGGTAGCTGTGGCAGTTTCTTAAAATAAGACAACAATGAATTTTACCACATCGATTAACTCTTTCACAAAGGATTCCTGTAGCAGGTGATGCTCCTTTATAAAATTTAACCCACACTAGAACTTTTTCCACATTTGGAGTCAATCCTCTCAAACTCTGCTTTATCAACTAAGCTTAGGTAGTATCCTAACTCCTTTGTTGTCATTTCAGCAATTCTCACAGCATCTTCATCAGGAGTAATTTCCATCTCATGCAAGAAACCACTTTCTTGGCTCATTCATAAGAAGCAACTCCTCATTCATTCAAGTTTTATCATGAGATTGCAGCACTTGAGTCACATTCAGGCTACACTTCTAATTCACTTGCTCTTTCCTCCACATCTATAGTTACTTCCTTCAACTGAACCCCTCAACGTCCTTCATGAGGGTTGGAATCGACTTCCTCCAAACTCCTGTTAATGTTGATATTTTTACGTCTTCCCATGAATCATGAATGTTTTTAATGGCATTCAAAATTATTAATCCTTTCCAGAAAGTTTTCAATTTAATTTGCCCAGATCCATCAGAGGCAGTGGAGGCTTTACAAAATGCTATTTCTTAAATAATGAGACTTGAAAGTAAAAATTACTTCCTGATTCATGGGGTACAGAATGGATATTGTATTAGCAGGCATGAGAGCAACATTAACCTCATATATTTCCATCAGAGCTCTTGGGTGACCAAGTCCATTGTCAATGAGCAGTAATATTTTGAAAGGATTATTTTTCTCTGAGCAGTAGGTCTCAACAATAGACTTAACATATTCAGTAAACCATGTGTAAACAGATGTGCTGTCATCCAGACTTTGTTGTTCCATTTACAGAGCACAGGCAGAGTAAATTTAGTGTAATTCTTAAGGGCTCAAGGATTTTTGAAATAGTAAATGAGCATTGGCTTGGACTTACAAGTCACTAGCTGCAATAGCCCCTAACAAGAGAGTCAGCCTGTCCTTTGAAGCTCTGAAGGCAGGATTGACCCTCTTCTCTCTATCCACAAAAGTCCTAGATGGCATCTTCCTCCAATATGAGGCTGTTTAATCTACATTGAAAATATAGTTTAGTGTAGCCACCTTCATTAATTATTTTAGCTGGATCTGGATCACTTGCTGCAGCTTCTACACCAGCACTTGCTGCTTCACCTTGCACTTTTATGTAATGGGTTAGCTTCTTCCTCAAACCTCGTGAATCAACTTTTGCTATTTTCAAACTTTTCTTCTGCAGCTTCCTCACCTCTCTCAGCCCCCATAGAATTGAAGAGAGGCTTTGGCTGAGGGGAATGCTGGAGCTGGTTTGATCTTCTCTCCAGACTACTAAAGCTTTCTTCATTCCAGCAATAAGGCTGTTTCATTTTCTTATCATTTGTGTGTTCACTGGAGTATTCACTTGAGCACGTAGAGGCATTGTGGGATTATTCATTGGCCTAATTTCAATATTGTTGTGTCTCAGGGAATAGGGAGGCCTGAAAAGAGGGAGCGAGACAAGGAATGCAAGTCAGTGCAGCAGTCAGAACACACAACGTTTCTTAAACTCACCATCTTCTGTGGGTGGGTTTTGTGGCACCCTAAAACAGTTACAGTAGTAACATCAAAGATGATTGATTACAGATCAGCATGACACATATAATAATCATGAAAAAGTTGGAAATACTGCAAGAATTACCAAAACGTGACAAAGACATGAAATGAAGTGAGCAGATATTGTTGGAAAAATGGTGTCGATAGATTTGCTCAATGCATGGCTGCTACAAACCTTTACTTTATTAAAAAGAAAAAGGAAAAGGAAAAAGACAAAAAACCCCACAGTATCTGCATAGTGCCGTAAAGCAAAAAGCAATAAAGTGAGATATATCTGTAGAGACTTTTAGAACAGGAAAGACCCTTAGGGAATTAGTATTTATTACATATAATAGGTGCTTTATATCCTTTTTCATAATAACATTAAAAGGTAAGTATGGTTGCCCACATTTTATAGACAAGCAATCTGAGACTCAGAAATGTTAAATAACTTGCCCCAGGTCATTCATCTAGAAGAAGTAGAAGGGCAATTAAATCTGTCTCTTTGTCTTCAAAACCCATGTTTCACTATTTTATTCTGCCTCTTAAGGGAAATGAAGTTTTGATCATCACCAGAAAATAGCATTTGAGGTAAGAAATCTGAGTCAATATTAAGTTAAAAAGGAAAAGGCATGAGTGAGGTGGGGACATCTAGCAACAAGTATTAGAGGGCCAGCATCTAATGCCAAACTGGTGTTTGCCAGAATACTACAGAAGGGGGAGGCCTTCATCCTCAAACCTCATGAGAAAACCCAGAAAAACATAGAATGCAGCAAGCCGGTTTAAATAACATAGTGGTAAGTGGACAGCCTCTGGGATCAGACCGTGGATTTGGGTCTCAGATCTACAGCTTTTCCCCTATGGAATTTGGGGCAACTTCTTTACTTACCCTCTCTGTGTCTCAGTTTCTGCACTTGTAAAATATGGTGATGATAATAGAACCTACCCCTTAGGGTAATTGTGAAAAGACTTAGAACAAAGCCTGGCACACAATAAGGGTTCAGTAAGTGTAGGTTGTTATTATTACTGTTGTTATTAAGGCTAAGGAAAGTAGTGCACAGAGAACTTCGAACATTCCTACTGCTTGGCAAGGTCCAGAAGCTGATGGCCTGGGATCAGCCTCAGAAGCCTTGTGGGTGTGCGAACATGCCCTTCCTAACTCCCCCGCAGGTCCTGGTAAGGTTCCCCATGCATGTGTACCTGGCATTGTGTCCAGTGAAGGCTAACTTCAGGCCCAGGCCTGTAATGATGATAATAATATTCTTTGACTAAGAGACAGGCTTATGTTGCTAAGTTGTTTTGTTATTAAAAGTAAATAGCAACACACTCTCTTCCTCCTCCAAGAATTCAGAATAAATTGACTTTCTAGGACAGATTTGTAACTACTTGCTAAATCCTTTACACTGTCTGCAAGTCTCAGTGAAGCCCCAGAGAGGATGAATAGTTTATGAAGGTTTTCTGTTTGCCGATTGGACCCTTCACAAAGTTGGGCTTGCCTGCTTTTAGAAAAGTGCTTCACTTATTAATTAGGTAAGGCTGCGTGGGCCTAAAGGTCCCTGATGAGATGTGGAAAGTGTTAAAGGTCTAGATCTGGAAGGGAAATTTCAGCCTGTTTCTGACCTCGGTGCTCTGGGCAACCTTGGGCAGTAGCTTCCCCACTAGAAAAGGAGAGCCCAAGATGGTCATCTAACCTGTTGGTGTTTGGGTATGTAATGTGGGAAATGGCAATTATTCTTTCATCAGCTTCTTTGTAAGTACCTTGTAATACCTATGTGATTGTTTCCCTCTTCATAAAGGCCTTAGAGCTGTGTTGCTGGACTTGGGCCTACAGTGCTGCTGGTCATGAAATGATATTGCTCCGTGGCTTGTGGCTTGTGGCATGCAGCTTAAGAGATGATAGTCCTGTGAGGATGATTTCCCCCCCTTGGCTGCAGAGAGGGTCCTCACCAACCTTTACGCCTGTCCCGGGCTCCCTTTCTCTAGAATCTAGGAAGCCCAAGGTAGCACCTCTGTGCCTAATTGCTGTGACTTGGAAAAGCTGCTTTTGGAAAGGGCTATTGCTGTCCAATATATATATATATGTATACACACACACACACACACACACACACACACACAATGTAGTCTCAGAAAAGTGGGAATGAAAGAGCTATGGGAAATCACTGCTACATCTGCTTGTCAGGTCTTGGCACATCTGGAAATGCTGCTGATGTTCAGGTGATAGCTCCTGTTAGTGTTTTCCCCTGCCAGCTAAGGGCAGGGCCTTCC